ATAATGACATTTTTCACATGTAGACAGTTAATTGGTTGTCAACGGTCGTATCAATATTTTCTCATTGTTGTTTTAATGACAACAATGTGAAACAAAGACCACATAAATATTAATTAATCATGGTCATGTCAACAACTGTAGCTTGCATAAATGGCCAAAAATGGCAGAAATGTCAGTAGTATTACTCATCAAGAGAACACAGTCAACCGTTGACAATTTGGATAGGCTTATTTTCATGATTCCTGCTTATAAAGCACAGTTTGTTTTAACAAAGGGATTAAATTATTGTAATACTTAAATTACTTGGTTAAATAAATACAAGTGAAATAAGGTAGTAAGAATAAATGCATGAACTGAATAGAGAAACAAAATCAACTGATCTAAAACTATTCAACTATTTCTATTAAATAGAAAATATCTGTTAAGTAGACTTAGATTTAGAATTAAACTTGGACAACTTTTATTGTCATTTTGTACACACAGAGTGTATACAAAACAAAATTTCATTTAATACAGCTCTCATGACATCTACATTTCTTAAAGTGCTTCAGTGATCAAATATAAACAGTGTGGGGTGGGAAACATGGTGCAAAAAAAATGCATTGATATGGAAGTTCAGAGCATTAAATATATGTGGTGCAAATATGCAGTATTTTTGGTTTGGTGTTATCAGTGTGATGCAGAGTCTGTGACATAATTTAGAGTTTTTTCAACAGTTCAGCTGTCTGGTGGCGATGGGGAAGAAGCTGTTGCAGAATCTGCTTGACCTGTCTGTGATGTATGCACCCCCAGCAATTTGGTGCTGCTGACCACCTCTACAGCTGAGCTGTTGGTGAGCAGTGGAGCGTGGTTAAGCCGGTACTTCCTGAAGTCAACGATGATCTCCTTCGTCTTCTCCACGTTAAGGATCAGGCTGTTATCTCTGCACCAGTCCACCAGCTGCTCTACCTCCTCTCTGTAGCCCAGATCGTTGTCGTCTCTGATGAGGCCCACCACCGTGGTGTCGTCTGCAAAATTCACGATGTGATTGGTGGTGAACATGGGGACGTAGCCCTGTGTCATCAGGGTGAACAGCAGGGGGCTCAAGATGCCGCCCTGAGGGGAGCCTGTTCTTAGGGTGATGAAATAAGAGGTGTTCTGTCCAACCCGGACTGATTGAGGTTCATCTGTGAGGAAGTCTAGCAGCCAATTGCAGAGGGGTTTTCCTGGGATGAATGTGCTGAAAGCTAAACTGTAGGCGTTTTAACAAAAGTGATGGGGTTAGTCTAACTTTGACTCCACATCCCCAGCTCATCAGCTCATTCGGTTGTGCGTGCCATTTACACTCAACAGAGACTGATCTCGGCACGGTTTCAAAAAGGTAGTGTGAATTGGGCTATAGTCTTGCTGGGATAATGTTACAAACAAATAAAAAAAATTCCCATTATAAAGTGTTAAAGTTTGCATGACCAAATGCAGAAGATTGATTGGATGTTGTATACAACAACTGCAGCAAAGCGTGAGATTTAAATAGCATTTTCTGTGACCTTGGTGGAAAGAAATCATGAGCAGTGTTGCTGCGTTTCTGTAGCAGGTAGGATTTCAAAGACATTTTTTGCAAAACATAGGTTTGTTAACCTTCACTGTTTCATTATCATTTGGTAAACTCATTCTGAAACTGAAAAGAGGAGCTTAATTCGTTCACAGAAAGCAGCTCCCCTCCATCCATCCTACACCATCTGCTGTGAGCAGCCCTCTCCAGGTGCCACACTCCGTGCTGCCATATCACTTCCACTTGTGTGATTATGCAAATGAACTCATTCATATTTAAATTATTAATTAGTCAGAGTTCTCAAAGGATGTTAGTGCAGCGCATGATTTCACAGACAGAGGCAGAGAAATGTTTGTGTGCTAGCAGGCAGATAGCTGTGCTGCTTGACCTTTACTATGGTACGATGAGGGATTGTTTTCTAGGTGTGAAATAATGAAAAGGCGCGGGGGGGGGGGAGACAAAGAAGAAAAGAAGAGAGGGACGAGGAAAGTCCCAAGGGTTCTGACACACATCCAGCTGATGGCGACGGACCGTTCTGAAGACGGTGGTTTGCGGTGGGAGTGTGAATCGATGCAGCAGAGCAGATATTGGTTTTCAGGCTGCATTAGTTTGCTACATGCTCTCAAAGTTTGGTAAGAGGCCTTTTTGACCTGGGTTACACCTAACTTAAATTATTCTGACAAGAAAAAAGAAACGGTTCTATATAGCACCTTTGATCTTAAGACTGTATATTCAGTAATTTGACTCAAACTAACAAAATTAAACACAATAATCTAAACAGGAGCGACCTAAAAAGGTATTTTTAATGGGTTCAAATGCCTTGTCAATAACAAAGTCAAATCGGACTCTCAACCCCAAAAATTGGACCAAACTCACAAACAACACATGCAAAGGAGAAATGCTGCAAATCACAGAAAATAGAGAGCAGCAAAGTGGAACCCCCCCTGCAAACACAAAACAAGTATGTGAAAAAAACAACTGCATGTTAAAGAAAAGCTGCAAACCAAGGAAATCTAGAAAACTGGAAGGAGATGATCAACACATATGGGATCAGAGACCACACACAGTACTGCGATGTAATGTCCGTGAAGCAGATCCTTTGCAAAAACCTTAACGGAATGCTGTCCAGAGGACATTTGGCGGGTGGAGAGCAAAGGAAGCTTTCCTTTGCATCTTTTTTAATCAGCTCCCGTTTATGCTTTTACTACAGACCTGCAGAACTTTTTCAAATTTGCTGTGAAACAATCTATTTGAACGGCGTTTGCACAGCTTGAACATCATAACTCTCAGCACAGAAATAGCATGATTATAGCAGACACACCGCTGAGTAGGGGTGTAAATCACACCCATCATGGCGATTCGATTCAGCATCAATTTTTTCACCTTACAGGCTAAAAAAACATTTCAAATTTGAAATTAATAAATGAACGCTGTAATATCAGCAAATAACAGAAGTAGCAAAGTTGTACTCCACCTAGGCCTATGAAAACCTCATTCACTGAAAAATAACAATGCCTCTGTGTTATAGATTCTGAAAGGCCTTGCATCAAAAACTACTGCAAGCGGAAAGAGGGTAGAGGCTAAAGGAAGCGAGGTAGGAGGGCAAAATAGGTTTAGCGCCACCGCAGCACGGGAGTCAGAATTACGTCCAGGAGCAAATGGATAAAAAAAGACCGGGGGAGGATGAATTGATACTCTTGCAGACGTGGTGATGCATCGCATCGTCGGCTGTTGAATCGATGCATCGATACAAAATGATTATTTACACCCCTACTGCTGAGTCACCAGTCATCCAGCTGACAGTCACGTATTCCACAACACGGATGGGAAAATCAATAAGTGTTGCATTCATGCATGTTAATGGAAAATTGAGTTGAAGGAAAAAGTGCAGCAGAAGCCAGGATAACTGCCACCTTGAGAGGATTGTAAGGCTAAGGGTGATCAAGAGTTTCGGGAGTCGAGGTCTGCAGCTGGAGTCAGAGCTTCAGGAAAAACTTTAAACAGACGCATCCAGGACAGCGTTCTGACCAGCTGTCTCACTGTGTGGTGTGGAGGCTGCAGCGCCTCAGACTTGAAGAAATTGAGAAGAGCGGTGAGAACAGCAGAGAGGATCATGGGGGCTCCTCTTCCTTCCATTGAAGACATTTCATCCCAGCGCTGCATGTCCCGAGCCTGTAACATCATCAGTGACCCCTCACACCCCCACCATGGACTGTTCTCCCTGCTGCCCTCTGGGAAGAGACTTTTCAGCATTCCATGCAGCTCCAGCAGATTCCGAAACAGCTTCTTCCCCACCGCCATCAGACAGCCGAATGTTGAATAAAAATCAAAATAATGTCACAGACTCTGCATTACACTGATAACACCAAACCAAAATATTGCATATTTGCACGGCATACATATTTAATGCTTTGAACTTCCATATCAATGCGTTTTTGCACCATGTTTTTTTCTCCCACACTGTTTACATTTGCTACATTTGTTCACTGCTGCACTTTATGGAATGAAATGTTCATTTACTGTCTGAAAAGCTGTACAAAACAATAAAAGTGCAAGACTGCAACTGTCCAGCTACATTATAAGTATGGTACCAGGGCCAGGGAGACAAGGAATGAACTGTGGCTCAGCAGTAAAAAAAAAAATAAATATATATTTTTTAGAAAAAGTAAAGTTTGCATTCAATTTGGAAATCTCCATTCCAGCATCTAGAGATGCAAAGAATCAAAGCGTAAAGTTTCCAGTCACTGAGGATTTGAGGTGCCAGGCCTTTTTTTTTCTTTAAATCCTTTCCAAAGTCTATTTAACCACCTACCAGGAACTTTTAGAGCACTCCATGCTTCCTTCTGTTGGTAAACATTTCATTTTCACCTGTGCATACTGCTAAAGGTTCTGATGCCTGTGTTACTCACATGCTGATATCATTAATGACATAAGTGTTTGACCTGAACCCTACAGAGAATCTGTGGAGTATTATCCCAGATAAGATGGGAGACACCAGAACCAGCAATGTAGATGAGCTAACGGTTGCTAGAAAAGCAAACTGTGTTTCCTGGATGATGCACAGACGCACAGAGTTCTATACTGCACAGTACATGCACAAACAGTTCAGTAGAACCAGTGTTAAAAACCTTTCAACAGGTGTCATGTAATATTTTTTTCTGAGAAACCAAATGTTGGGTTTTCATTAGCTGTCCACTATACCCAAAATTATTGGAAATAAACATTTGAGATGCATCATCTCACTTAAATAAATCTATGTATGTTTGCTCCACTTCTGCAAATACATCTAAACTGTTGAACTGGGCCTGCAAAATGCATCATAATTAGAAATCCAATAAACAGCATTTAGTCCATAAGGCTGTTTAAGCTAGAGAGGCCAATCCATTGGCTTCCAGCAAACCGTTCCCTGTTTCATTGCCTCACAGACTAAATGTCATCAATTCAACAACAAGAGGGGGGCTGTCATTACCTTAAAGGTCTTGTCCATGGAGGCAGACAGCAGCAGGTGGCTAATATGAGGCACGGGGCACCACTGCACAGTATTGACTGGCCCCTGGTGGCCTTCCAGACTCATTAAAAGCTTTCTGGGTACCCCGGCTGCTTGGGTTTTTTCACCGAGGTAATGCTTCACTCTGGATGACACGTCTGTGAGAACTGGGCCTTTCCTGGTCTGATTCCCTGAGACCTGCTCTGATGGGTTCTGAGTGCCGTCTGCCTCCTCTGACTGGATGAGTCTCTGTCTCTTGGGGATATATGGTCTGATACCAGACATGGCAGAATGCTGTCTTTTAGCTGGATTTGAAGCATCAGTGACACATTTTGGGAGACAGAGAGGAGGCTGCACAGGTCCAGTTTTCCTCTGATTCGCCGGGAAACCGATAGCAGCAGAGCTGTCTGTAAAATGCCTGTCTTTTCTTTCACTATAGTATTCCGTGTCCCAGTGTTCATGTTTAGGGTGAACAAGCGATGAAGAGCTACTTTGTTCTGTGACCCATCGATGATGTTCTATTGTAGTTTGTTTAGAAAGCGAACCTGAATGACTGGGCGTTAAATTAGGGCTACTAAATCCTGCAGGGTCTGTGTGGAACGTTGCTGCTGCTCCTCCGTCCACCTGAGGGGAGGGCTCCTCCTCTGACTCTGAATCATCATAGGCCACCAATGAAGACATCTTGATTTAACACTGAAAAAAAGAGAACAATTCTTAGTACCATTAACTCATCATTGGCCCAAAGGCGACACCTAGTGGCCACTTCAAATACTGACAATTACAAATAGATCATAAAGTCTTGCCTTATATCCAAGCTGTTAAAAGGAGAGAGAAACACAATGATGGAATTCATTTATTTTAAAACAAAAGAACATGGAAATTTACCTTATTTTTATTTAATTTCTTTATTATAACTACATTAGCTACATGTGTACCACCTGGTTAAGATGTTTAAAAAGCCTGATTATAAAATGTTTTTTTGCAGCAGCAGAAGTGGCTTAATCACACACTAGAATCAAAAAATGTGTTTGAATAAATATAAATCATTGGGAAAATAAATGTCTAAGGAACAGATAGCTTTAACCCTTTATTGGGAACTCATTAAAAATACTTTGAAAATCAAAATTTCAAGCCAAGAGTGTTATTGGAGGACAGAATGACACCTTATTATTTTTGCAACATTCAAAATACATGTATATTTTAATGGCAAAAAAAAAGGTAAATGTGATAATAAGATACGGCCGCTGGTCTTATCATAAAAATTAAAAGTGCTTCATTAAGAAATTCATGAAAAACACTCACAGCGAACAAAACACTTTTAATATCAGTATTAATGCTGATACAGGCACTTACATATTTTAATCCTTGACTTAGCATATTAACTATTTTAGCATTTTTAACTTTTTATCTTAGTTTTTTCCTTTTTTTCTTTCAAGTGCTCATCTAACTTGTCAAACACCAAAAAAAGAACATGTCAGCCACGTAGCAGTATCTTTGTTGAATGGCTGAATATGAGGGACTCCATTTGTAAGGGGTATGAAAGTGATTAAAAATGGTAACTTGCCCTATAAAGGGGCTGCTCACAGCAGATGGTGTATGGTCTAGCATCTTATGCATAAAAAAGTAAACAAATAACACCAAAAAATGATTTGTTCATGTTAAATTGAAGCGATACACAGCATTTATCCGTCCTGTTTGTGGTTAAACCTGGTTTCGTTTTGATCCTGAAAAGTAGGGGTTCATTGTGCCTGCAGCTTTCTAGCGGATCATCAATCTTTAAAAAGCCTGAATTGCTGATTCCAAATTCGACCAATACATTTTTTTTAAACAGCCCTTATTATTTTGCAATAGACCTTCAGTGTTTCAATTTCGTTTTATTTCAAGTCGAACGTTGCCTTTAAAATAATAAAAACTTTGTTTAAGTAAAAACAAAATGGAAGAAAATCAGGCCTGCGATAAATCGGTGCAGCTTACTGAAAATAAAGTTTGTAGAGGCATTGCGTACGCAGTGGCCATCTGCTGATAGTACTCACTCACACATCTGTCAGTCTGGCAGCTTCAGTGGCTTTAGCTCTGGTTTCAGTGAGCTCTGCTGTTTATACTCTATTCAAAGCACAACTTGTCTTTTATCCTTCTTTTTCTTTGCACATTTTCACATCTTGGACTTTCTTTTCTTGGTTTTCACTCATCCGCTGAGTCAAATACTTCCTTGTTTACAAATCAAATCTGAAATATCATACCTCTGGTTATATGGTCTTCTTATGCTAAACACTGAAAACATTAAGCTGAACAACAAGGAGAGCAATCAGAAAGATTAAAACAAAGAAAAAACTATACTAACCCATCAGGGCATCCTAATTTAATCATAAATGTCTTGCATGCAACAAGACTGAGCTGCAAGTGTAGAAATTTGTAAAGTTAGAGTACGCATTTAAGACCTTTTAACAAAAATTACTTTGGTGTCTCTAATGATAACTATAGTTATAGTCTAGTGCAGTGGTTCCCAAAGATTTGCTTCTGGGCCCCCCTTTGGATTACAATAAAATTTCCACGCCCCACACTTTGGGAACCACTGGTCTAGTGGGTTAGAGTTGTGTGCTTGTGTTCTGATCCCGGCTCGATGCCAACAGCCTCAACTCTGGGTTCCTGTGCAAAGACCCTCAACCCACCGCTGCTTCCTGGGCGCCGCACAATGGCAGCCCACTGTTCCCCAAGGGGATGGATTAAATTCAGAGGTAAATTTCTTCAATGTGGGATCAATAAAGTTAAAAAATAAATAAATGAAAATGAGGCCTTCATGTTTTACTCTCCTAGACTGAAGACAGTCCCTAATAGGGCTGGGTAAAAGAAATCGATATAATTGATTTTGAATCAATTCCTTTACATTTTTGCAAAATCGATGTCTAGGAAAAGAGATCGATTCGTTTTAAAGTGACGCGCGTGACGTTCACATTCAAATGAGCAGGAAAGATGCTCTCAAGATGACTTCAAGCCAGACAGCTGCAGACAAAACTGAAGACATTAACAAATGGGGCTGACCAGCAAACACCCTGTAGTTGTTACAGACAACGCTGCACACATGGTTTGTACAGTGGAGATAATGCAGCAAATACATGTCTGCTGTGTCCCCGCTGTGTCACGTCTGCTTGCTCAAGTGAGGCTTCACTTTTTCTCTTTTCACAAACAAGTTTGCACTTTTGAGACAGTTTTGTTCACATCTCAAGTTTAAACTGTCCGATTTACAAGTTTGTACTTTTTGTTTAATATGACAGGAACAAAACAAAATACATGAGTATTTTGAAACACAGTTGAACCACTTTCATTATTGTAAAAACAGATCGAATCGAAATTAATCGATTTAGAACTGTATGAATCAAAATCGAATCGATTCAGGACTTTGGCGAAAATACCCATGTCTAGTCCCTAATAATCTATATAACCCAGCCCTCCATGCCATCCTGTTCTCCAAATGTACTGCAATTTCTTAGGGTATTAAATACAAAAACATAAAACAGTGCACAATCCTGAGTGAAAGTATAGTGACACACATTAGAAATAAAGTGTATCACTATACTTTAAAAGTAAAGTATAAAATGCATATGAATGTAACACTGTAATAAAAAAAGTTACATTCAAATGGATTTTTAAACCCTTAATTTAATACTTCAGTCAAATTCAGTGCAACTGTTTTGTTAAACAGAACTATATTTACAATTTAATCTCAGTGTGAATACAGTCATACACTCAGTCGATCGCTCCAAAAAGGAAAAGAAGAGGATAGACCAACAGCAAACCTACCAAGACAGGAAGGGCAGCATTTATAGGGAAGGAAGGCTTAGTTCAGCAGAGATAAGGAAAGCTGGGACACATTTTAAGGGGAAGATGGGCATGCATGCCAAAGCCTTTAGATTTTTACTTTTAAGAAAAAATATTTTAAACCATGTTTCATTTTATGTTTATTTCAGAGGAAATAAACATTTGATCTCTTGTTGTTTTTTTTCAGTCTGATCATTTTTTATCAGGCACAGCCTTTAAAATGTATTGTAGTTTCATTCATTTTTTTTGTGTAAAGAAAAAAATCAGCAATAGAAAATGTATATAAATATATCACATACAAATTTTAAATCAGTTGTTAGGGTTACATGTATCAGCAAATATGACAATAACACAGTTTCTGTTGCTGTTCACCAGGTTTTCGCACATTTCAGCAGGGATTTCTACACATTTTCCGTCCAGAATATCTTTAAATCATTTGGGTTTCCTTGCTGCTGAATGGAAATTCATAGCTTTAGCTCCCTCTGCAGAATGCCTGTTGGAGGGAGGAGTGGAGTCTGACCTGACGCCTCCTTAACAGGCTTCTTGTTTTGTCCTTTTAATCTTTTATGTTGCGTCTTGAGTTACTATAATGCTTGGAGACTCATCCATGACTACTCTTTGGTGTTTTTCACAGTATATTTCACATTAAATTACCAAGTTTGGTCCAGTATCTTTCACAAAAACATAATTTTCCAAAGCATGTTTCCAGCTTTGTGGACATCCCATTGTACATCAGGATCAAGCTAAAGGGTCACCAACGTGGTGCCTGATGGCACCAAAGGGCCCCTTAAGGACCACATGGGGAGCCCTCAGCATCTTCTGAAAACAGAGCAACTAATCAGTGGAGTAAGTTTACAATTTGATTTTATGCTGCTGCTCTTATTTTTTTAACTGCTGATGTTCTTGGAGCTCATCCCAGACTTGATATATGATCTTGAACCTGAAGTCTCTTTCAAGCCGAAAAACTGATGCTTTTAATGGAGCCAAAGGTAAAATGTAGGAGCTATGACTACGGGTGCTGCAGAGGATCTTCTTCTTCTTCTTATGTTTTTTATTGGTGGAAGGCAACCAACTTAAGGTGCATTTACCGCCACCTACCACACTGGATTGTGGTTATGAATGATGTCAGAGGGAAGTTATTAATTCATACCTCAGTGGTATGCACGAATCTGCATATTATCTATCTATCAATATCTATACAAACTCACATATAAATGAATATGTGTGTATATGCACATCCATACACACACTTATATTCTTACTTTAAATACGATTAAATAATCCAGTGTTTTTTAAAAATCGAATTGACTGATTTCTAGCAGAATTAGATTTACTCCCTAAAACGTTTATCATTGAAAATCCAATTTTTTCTCTACAGTATGTAGTGTTGACTTTAAATTCTGACGTTATTGTGAATATTTACATTCGAATAATACATGTTCCACTGTTTCCATCTGATTGCAGTAATTACAAGTCCCTGTGTCATGTTTTCCTGTTTTTAAAAGAGAACTATTAAGTCCAGTATGACCAGTTCTAAGGCGAGATATGACTACCTCTTCTTTCCACCTTCCATTTGTACAACTATGACCCCCCACAGTCTTTTGAATTTTATATAGATCTCTACCAGTGTCATGATAATCCCAATGTTCCTGCAAAACCTTACAGATTTTATTCTGAATTATAGATTTATCTTCACTTTTGCTTAAAGGAATAATTAAGTTAATAATATCTAATTCTAAAGCCTGTTAAGCTGATTTTTTTTTACAGTTTTTACACAATTCTGACTTTAATCTCAGAATTCTGACTTTAATCTCAGAATCTTCACTTTTTTTCTCAGAATTCTGAATTTAATCTCAAAATTCTGACTTTAATCTCAGAATCCTGACTCTTTTTTTTCCTTCAGAATTCTGACTTTTTTCTCAGAATTCTGACTTTTTTTCTCAAAATTCTAACTCAGAATTTTGGATCTTAATGTAGATGGGCACCATATGTGGGAGCACTTAGATCCAATGGCAAATATGTGAGTTGTTTGAGGGGGCCAGTAACACATTGGTCGAAAATGATGGAATTAGGCAACTTTGTACGTGCCCAAGGGGTCCCCGGTGATGCTATATCATTAATGGAAGAGAGGAAGGTGATTAAAACAAGATAGGTAGTCTCTAAAACAGACATGGCTACGTCTTAATGCTAACATGTTTGTTAGCTGTCGGAAAACAGTAAGAATTCTAAGATTAGACTCAGAATTCTGAAATTTTTGTCATATTATACGGAAATAAAATTTTAAAATCAGTTAACTTTTTAAATGTTTTCAGTGGCCCTTATCCTCTTCCGTGTCTGTCTCATAAAATCCCTGTTAAATGCATTTAAATATGTAGCTGCAAAGGGATAGTAAGATATATATTGTTTTATAAATACCTTTCCAAGGCACTGAGTGTTGATTTTAGTGTAACTGCATTTTGCTGAGAGCAGCTGTTATTAGTTCACATCGTACAAGTTTATTAGGCAGCCCCAGTTTGGTTCCTTCATTCTCCTGCTTTATGACGATAAAACATGATGTTTACAGTTTACATGTTTACAGTTATATCTGCTAATGTCTCAACGAATCTGCAGTTCGACCACAGCTAGCAGATTAGCTGACGATGACAGCTCTTCTTAATTTAACGATTTAATTATAAAACAAATTATGTGAATCAATAATTTGGAACTTTGTTGTTCTACCTGTAGTTTGGAAAAGTCCTCGATTCACTTCTTCGGCGTTAACGTGGTTTGTTTTTGTTTTAACATCCCGCAAAATCATTTTAGTGAGAGTAGTGTTTCAAAATAAAAGCATAGTTTCGTCTTGTATGGTGAACGTAATGTGTTTTCCGTTGAAAAGCTCTTATTTTGAAAATAAAGGTATAGGAACCAGAAGTTGACGAGACATCTTACTGATCCGATTTAAATTTGTTCAAAAATGTCATTATTTATGATTGGCGTATATTTAATATCGAATTTGTTAAAATTGAAAATTTAAAGAGATTCAAACGAAGTTTCTTGGCGTTGTGTGAATATGCGTGTGTGACTAGTGTGAATATGCGGAACCTTTTAAGATAGGTTTGTGTGGATGGGGAAGAGCTAGTGACGGACACCGGTTCTCTACAGGCTGATGCAAGTTGAATGAGGGAGCTGTCAGCATAACGGTATGAAAGAAAGGAGAGAAAATAAACGGGCATCCTTTTATTATTATCCGCCTTTAGCTCAGTAATTGTGTTGCTAAGGAAACACTTTGCTGTTGATGTATTTAATTTAATCGGGAACATCAGTAGCCATTAGCCAGGTTTACCAAGCTAGCTCCACAGACTGGTCACATATGGGAGACTTCTATGCAGCAGGAGGAGGGAATATAAGGAAGTTAGAGATTTAAATTAGTTAGATCTAATTTTTAAAGACACATAGAACCTTCTCTGGCGTGACTGTTTTATTTAAGTCCTTTCTATCATTGTGTCAGGGGGACAGACGGGAGAGATGACAGACTGCCAAGGAGACGGAGAAGGAGCCAGCACTCCAATGGAGCTGTATGAGAGACTCGGTGCACAGGGGGATAAAGTCAGATCATTGAAATCAGCCAAAGCTGAGAAAGTGAGTAATTTGGTAGATTAAATTCAGATTTCCTAAACTAGCCTTAGGTATGTTAGCTAAATTTCCGAAAGAGTTGTATATCAAAACAAAGGGAACTACAGAGAACTTTCAGTGGATGCCAACATTGTTTATTCTGGTAAAACAGAAGGACAGTTTCAGCTTTTTTCTAAAAAGGAAACCAGGGAGCGATTTAGTTAATCGCAATTAATACTGAAACCTGAGAAAAGTTGTAACCCCCAAAACAAAAAAATATTTTTTATTTTCAAATTAAATGCCTCTTTGTAAATTTGCACATTGAAAATCATTGCACACCCCTAGCTCATTAAAAATAAAATAATACAAAACACAAAAACCTAACCTGGGTTAGCAAAGCATCTGTATATGTGTGCAATACCTTGTTTCATGACCAAGTCGTGAATTTTTAGAAGAATACTGTATTTAAAAAAACTGATGTGGTTTTCTGCCTTGAAATAAAAACTTTTTTTGGGTTGTCTTCTTTTTAAAAATAAAAAAAATCTGTGTAAATAAATCATTTCAGCTGCTTATCTCAGTCTTTTCTTTTCTCTGATCATTTCTTTTAGAATCACTTTTTCTGTATGGATCTTTTCATTCTGTTTATTGTTTCCTTTTGTTTGTTTTCTCCAATGAATTGTTTTAATCGCTGTGTTTGCTCCTTCAGGTTGAAATTGATGCCGCCGTCCAGCAGCTGCTGATGCTGAAAATGGACTACAAAAAGATGACGGGTCAGGACTACAAAGCAGGATGCCCACCATCAGAAGACATGGCTGCGGCGAACAATGGGCCCGCAGCAGATGGCGCCAGTGAAGAGGACACAGTCGACCCTTGGAACGTTTCAACCACAAATGCCAAGGGAGTTGATTATGACAAATTAATAGGTAGGAGTCTTGTTTTTGGAGAAGTAGTACATCATGGTGGATGGATTAATAATATTTTCTCTTTTTAGTGAGGTTTGGGAGCAGCAAGATCGACAAGGAGCTGGTGGATAGAATAGAAAAAGTTTGTGGACAGAAGCCCCATCGCTTCCTAAGAAGAGGGGTTTTCTTCTCACACAGGTTTCTGGTCTTCCGCTCTCACTCATCATCAATGAATAAGTTCTGAGCAGTTAGATTAATCATAATAGCTGTTTATGTTTTTATTGTCCAAAAATTCAAACTTAGTGTTCAGCTTTATACCATCTTCTAGTTAATTATTGCTTAAAAGCATCCAGTAGAGATATCAATCTGTTTTATTTTCCACAGTCTCATTAAATCAACAAAGAAACAAGATTTTCACATTTTAAGTATTTTTTTACCCAAATACTTCAAACATAGCTATGTAAATTAGATGTGACGGAGCATCTTAAAGTAGTGCATAGCTGTGAAGAGTTAGGAAATCAGCACATGGGTTATTTGCATGCTTTTAAAATTAAAATGTGAAGAGATGTGATCCACATTTGAATTCAACACCTCTGTGATGATACTTTGTATAACGACCGTCTATCACAGCTGCAAGTCATTAAGGGTGTGTCTCTATCAACCTGGTTAATCTAGAGAATATTTCCCTCTTCTTTCTTGCAAAATATTTAGATCAGGGTGGATAAAGAACATTTCAAGTATCAGATTCTTTATATCGTTTAGATCTGGACTTCTCTGCGCCATTCTAGAACAAGAACATGCCTTAATTTGGTTGTAATGATAGAAGATGAATCTCCACTGCAGTCTCAAATCATTTGCAACAGATTTCCTTTCAGTATTCAGCTCCACTAATCTTCCCATCAACTCTGATAAGCCTCTCCACATCAGCTATCAGCATGACACTGCCACCACCACGTCTCAATATGTGGAGGGTATGTTCAGTGTGAGGTACTTGGTAGATCTATAACAAGTATAGCATTTTGTATAAGGACAAAAAAATTATAATTTTGACCTCAGGTGACATTTATGTGCCTTTTACTTTGTAAGAAACTAAATCAGGACTATATAGAGCTTTTCATTAACAATGGCTCTCTTTGGCTTTATGTCAAAGAGATCCATAAAGGGGCAGCATGGTGGTCCGCATGACTAATTGCTGTAGTCCTATTAACATCTGAACAGCCCCTCAATAATCCCTAAAATCCCCTTTTCTGTTTCTCTGATTGTTCCTCCTCTGGGTCAGTTTGTTAGTTTTGATGCACCACCTCATAAACATGTAAGACCTTCACCTTTCAGCTGATTAAACACAAGCAAACTCCCTTACTTTTTGTCACTTTTGCAGGCATTTGGTTAAACTAGATTTTATATAATGAAATATTGTCAGGGTTTTCTTCAACGCATTTCAGACTAATGTGTCACCACTCTGAAATTTCTCACCCGTCCAGAAATTTAGGCCGATGGGCCTGTTTTATTTATTTATATTTTTTGCCTGATGGCCCTTTGACTGAATTATGGGCTCCCTCCCAAAGCGTTCTGTTGGCCACATTTCAGCACAAGCACTTGTTTTGTTCTAACAGAATTTCATTGAAATCATAAAAATGTTGCTCAACAGCCTTAGAAATGTAGTTTTTAAGCATTCTTACTTCATTATTTAAAAATTTGCACGAGAGAAGTGCTACAAAACATGACATCCGTCACCTCATGCTCACCTTAAGCTTGTAAAGACATGAACAAAAGGGCAACCACTGAAGGACGGGGTGGAGTATCCAGACCAAACATCTGGTCTGTCAGGCTGAACCGGTTGAGGGTCACAGTGTTTTTCATATTGTTTGTTTCTGGCCAATAAAATGCAGCATCACTGCTGCACCGGTGCATGCCGTGGCTGTGGTGAATCACAGCTTTGTCACTGGGTCAGTCTAATCGTTTGCATATTAAGGAGAGTTATGAACGTCACCTCCGGACATGGATGAAAGATCTAACAAAATAGGAGTGGGCTTAATTACAAAAAAAAAAGACAATATGAGTGTAGGAAATAGAATAATAATAATCAAAATAAATAAATAGGCCCCCCACTGCTATACTAATAAACAATCCTGCTTCAAACCCTGATAACAAATAAAGGTAAACACTAAAGCTGCAACTAGCAATTATTTTGCTAATAGATTAATCTTTTGATGCTTTTTTAGATTACTTGATTAAAATTCAATAACAAACGGTCCCTTAAAGAAGATTTGACATGAGAATCAAACCAAGCAAAGCTAAAGCTGCCAATTAGGGAGTTCCAGATAGAACATCTCCACAAACAATTTTTCATCTTAAATGCAAAATATATATATATATTTAAAGTGGCTAGCTCTTTCAGCTAAATGGATTTCTTTGAGTCTCTATACTCCAGCTAATGATTAATAAATTACTAAATCATCATTAATCTCTCAATCCCAGTAAATACATATACCTGCCTCTTTTCCTCTTTGCAAAATGTAATAGTTTAAGACTTTGATTTATTGATAAATTCATTTAAGAGCAAAATAATTTGATGGTAGCTTATACCAGCAGACTGATAATGTGTAGAACTCTGTGTTAGTTCCACACATTATTAATGTGGGACTACTGCCATCAGATCTGTTCTGCAAAAATGAATTCAGCTTGTAGGCTAAGTTAGAGCAGTGGAGGAATAAACTGAATGTTTTCCCCTTTGCTCTGCAGAGATATGCATCAGGTACTTGATGCATATGAGAAGCACAAGTCTTTCTACCTGTACACCGGCAGAGGCCCGTCCTCAGAGGCCATGCATGTCGGTCACCTCATCCCGTTTATCTTCACTAAGTGAGTTTAAGCGTAATTTCTGTTTAATTACACAGAAGTTTGAATTTTATACGACTGTGATCTTGAATGAAGAACATTCCTTCAAAGTTAGAAGTGAATATTTTCCTTTGAGTGCAGATGGCTTCAGGACGTTTTTGACATCCCCCTGGTGATCCAGCTGACGGACGACGAGAAGTACCTGTGGAAGGACCTGACTGTTGAAGAATGCCACCGCTTTGCAATAGAGAACGCCAAGGATATTATAGCCTGTGGCTTTGACCTTAACAAGACATTTATCTTCTCTGACCTGGACTACATGGGGTAAAACAAGACAGGAGGCTTTAGGTTGAAAAGAGAAAACTGTCAACAGAGCAGAGCGACTTGTTGCGTTGTTTGTTTTTCAGTGTTTTTTCTTTTACTTTCCGTTCCACAGTGCCTGCCCTGAATTCTACCGAAATGTGGTGAAGATCCAGAAGCATGTGACATTTAACCAGGTCAAAGGAATCTTTGGCTTTACGGACAGCGATTGCATCGGTAAGGAACTGAAAACACAAAAATTGGGGACAGCTGAGGGGAAAAAAAACAAGAGCTTCAGGTTTTCCATCCATCTTCTGTCATGCTTATCCCAAGCGGGGTCACAAGGGGTGCTGGTTCCTGTCTCCAGCTGTCCACAGCTGCTCTCAAACGGCCAGTACAACAAACAAGCTGCTCTTTTTGATTTGGCCGAATCAAGCTAGTTTGCTCCTCTTAACATTGTTTTTGTAGATCACCTCTACAGTAATTGACATATGGTCCACCAAGCTACTAATACAAAACAATTATAATCAATGCAAGCATTTACAGAGTCTTTGCTCGGCGACAAAGGCGAGCTATGAGCTGATAAAAATGTATTTGATTCTATTTTTGTTAAACACCTGTAGCAAGGCTGCTGTAAATATTTATTAATCTAATCACTTTAATAGGAAACTAAATAATCACAGCATCTGGATTTTCAATACAGTTTAAGAAAGATGATTTATGTGTTTAAATACTGTACTGTGGTCATTAGAAAAATGTATGAATATATTGCCAAAGGTATTGCTTTTGCTCACATATGAGTTTCAGTGACATCCCATTCCTAATCTATAGGGGTTCAATATGACGTCTGTCCAACCTTTGCAGCCAGAACAGCTTCAACTCTTCTGGGAAGGCTGTCTATAAGGTTTAGGATTGTTTATGGACATTTTTTACCATTCCCTCTGAAGGCCACTTATGAGGTCATACACTGGTGTAGGATGAGAGGTTCTAGCGTTCAGTCTCCACTCTCATTCATCCTTAAAGTGTTCTGTGGGGTTAAGGTCAGCAGTCTGTACAGGCCAGTGAAGGTGATCCATGCCAGACTCTGTCTTTATGGGCCTTGCTTTGTGCTCTGGTGCAGTCATGTTGGAAGAGGAACAGCCCAGCTCCAAGCCGTTCCTACATTGTTGGGAACATCGAATTGTTCAAAAAAAATCTTGGTATGCTGTAGCATTCAGAGATCCCTTCACTGGAACTCAGAGGCCAATTCCACACATAAATCCCTCCTCCAACCAACTTCACCCTTGGCACAAAGCAGTCAGATAAGGACCCGTTCTCCTGGCAACCGACAAACCCAGACTCGTCTATCAGATTTCTAGATGAAGAAGAGTGACGCTCCAGAGAAAGTGTCTCTACTGCTCTGCCGTCCAGTGTCGGCGTGCTTTAGTTCTCTGCATTCAATAATTTGCATTACACCTGGTGATGTACGGCTTGGAAGCAGCTGCTGGGACATGGAAAGCCATTTCATAAAGCTCTCTGTTCTAGAGCTAATCTGAAAGCCATATGGTGTTTGAAGGTGTTAAGTAATTGACCCTGCAGAAAGTTGGCAACCTCTTTACACCACGCCTTCAGCATTCACTGACCCCGCCCCGTCGGTTTACCTGGTCTACCACTTCATGGCTGAGTGGCTGTCGTTCCCAAATGCCTCCGTTTTCTTATACAGCTGACGGTTGAATGTTTAGGAGGAAATGATGATGCATTTGCTGCACGGGTGGCATCCTGTCACAGCTACAGGCTGGATTTCACTGAGCTCCTGATAGAGCCCTATTCTTTCACAAGTCTGTAACAGTCTGCATGCCTAGGTGATTTATTTTATAAACCTGTGGCCATGGAAGCGATTGAAACATCCAATTCCAGTAATTATGATGGGTGAGGAAATGCTTTTGGCAATAGAATCTCTAGATGAAAGACTCAGTGTGGGGTTGGATATAAATAAATCGTTTCCACATTTTTCTTCTTCCACTCGAAAATAGTAAGAACATTGTAATGTTTTCTTCTCCATACAGGGAAGATCAGTTTTCCAGCCATCCAGGCCGCACCCTCCTTCAGTAACTCCTTCCCTCATATCTTTGGAAGCAGAAAAGACATACAGTGTCTCATTCCTTGTGCCATTGATCAGGTCAGGATTCCGACATGTATCAGCAACGCTCACAAATATATTTCCATGATACAAATAACTTGTCTAATTGCTTTCCTATCCCTCCTACAGGACCCCTATTTCAGGATGACCCGTGATGTCGCTCCAAGGATCGGTTATCCAAAGCCAGCACTGCTGCACTCCACCTTCTTCCCTGCCCTGCAGGGGGCGCAGACGAAAATGAGCGCCAGCGATGCCAACTCCTCCATATTCCTGACAGACACACCGAAGCAGATCAAGAACAAGGTGCTTTAACCGCATCGGTCCCCTCTTGGAAAGTAAGTGCTCTGTGTTCATTTTTGGCAAACTTCCCTCACCTGTTCTTCTTCCTGACAGATTAACAAACACGCTTTTTCCGGAGGGAAGGACACTGTAGAAGAGCACAGGAAGTACGGCGGGAACGCAGATGTAGACGTCTCATTCATGTATTTGACTTTCTTCCTTGAGGATGATGAAGAGCTGGAGAAAATCCGACAGGTGAGGAAGATGACAAACACCCAGAGTTTTCCTTCTGTTATCCGACTCTTCTCATCTTCCATCTAATCCCACTCATTTGATATTGTCTCTCCCAGGACTACACCAGTGGAGCGCTGCTAACAGGCGAACTGAAGAAAAAATTGATTGAGACTCTGCAGCCAATGATTGCCCAGCATCAAGAGAGACGCAAACAAGTCACAGACGAAACAGTGAAGCAATTTATGACACCCAGACCTTTAAATTTTAACTTGTAGCTCGGTGGAGCGTCACAGATCCATGTTTATTGTACTCTACTATTTTTCATTTAAAGTAATCTGTAATGGGTGGAAACATTGGAAGGATTGTGTTCTTCTCCAAAATAAGCATGGCAATGTTCATGTGGAATCAAATGCACGTTTGTGTTCCTCATCTGGAGCTCTCTACTCTCAAAGTAAGAGGCATGTAATCTAAAAGCTGCTTAAAGACGAACAAAAGAAAAGTCATCTGCTTCGGAGGTCTTCTGTGGAAAAATTCCTTTTACCAAGAGATGTTGTAGTCTTGTTTTTATATGATTGTAAAAATGAGAGGTGTTATAATCACACATTCATATCAGAACAGTTTTAGGCGGGGCATTTTTCAGAAACGGAACAATGAAGTTTTGAGCTTTTCAGCAAAAAATTGAAATGCATTGAAAAACTAAAAAATTCGACATACAGTGCAGCTGAAATTCATTGATGAAATAGTTGTATTTCTATAATTTGGTGGGTAAAATCTCTACATATTTCAAGTTTAAGGTTAGGGCTTTTCCAAGAGCTCAGCACTAACCTACTTTATCATTTGAAGCCTATTTTTTTTTATGTGTGTTTGGGTTGATTGCCCTGTTGTACCACTCACTTGTGTCAGTTTTTGCCTCTTGCAGAGAATTGAAGTAGCTCTAGTGTGATCCATTCTACTCTGAACTTGAAGTAATTGTGTTCTAGTTTCACGCTTTTAGGCCTTCCTAGTTTTATTTTATTTNTCAGCTTGTAGGCTAAGTTAGAGCAGTGGAGGAATAAACTGAATGTTTTCCCCTTTGCTCTGCAGAGATATGCATCAGGTACTTGATGCATATGAGAAGCACAAGTCTTTCTACCTGTACACCGGCAGAGGCCCGTCCTCAGAGGCCATGCATGTCGGTCACCTCATCCCGTTTATCTTCACTAAGTGAGTTTAAGCGTAATTTCTGTTTAATTACACAGAAGTTTGAATTTTATACGACTGTGATCTTGAATGAAGAACATTCCTTCAAAGTTAGAAGTGAATATTTTCCTTTGAGTGCAGATGGCTTCAGGACGTTTTTGACATCCCCCTGGTGATCCAGCTGACGGACGACGAGAAGTACCTGTGGAAGGACCTGACTGTTGAAGAATGCCACCGCTTTGCAATAGAGAACGCCAAGGATATTATAGCCTGTGGCTTTGACCTTAACAAGACATTTATCTTCTCTGACCTGGACTACATGGGGTAAAACAAGACAGGAGGCTTTAGGTTGAAAAGAGAAAACTGTCAACAGAGCAGAGCGACTTGTTGCGTTGTTTGTTTTTCAGTGTTTTTTCTTTTACTTTCCGTTCCACAGTGCCTGCCCTGAATTCTACCGAAATGTGGTGAAGATCCAGAAGCATGTGACATTTAACCAGGTCAAAGGAATCTTTGGCTTTACGGACAGCGATTGCATCGGTAAGGAACTGAAAACACAAAAATTGGGGACAGCTGAGGGGAAAAAAAACAAGAGCTTCAGGTTTTCCATCCATCTTCTGTCATGCTTATCCCAAGCGGGGTCACAAGGGGTGCTGGTTCCTGTCTCCAGCTGTCCACAGCTGCTCTCAAACGGCCAGTACAACAAACAAGCTGCTCTTTTTGATTTGGCCGAATCAAGCTAGTTTGCTCCTCTTAACATTGTTTTTGTAGATCACCTCTACAGTAATTGACATATGGTCCACCAAGCTACTAATACAAAACAATTATAATCAATGCAAGCATTTACAGAGTCTTTGCTCGGCGACAAAGGCGAGCTATGAGCTGATAAAAATGTATTTGATTCTATTTTTGTTAAACACCTGTAGCAAGGCTGCTGTAAATATTTATTAATCTAATCACTTTAATAGGAAACTAAATAATCACAGCATCTGGATTTTCAATACAGTTTAAGAAAGATGATTTATGTGTTTAAATACTGTACTGTGGTCATTAGAAAAATGTATGAATATATTGCCAAAGGTATTGCTTTTGCTCACATATGAGTTTCAGTGACATCCCATTCCTAATCTATAGGGGTTCAATATGACGTCTGTCCAACCTTTGCAGCCAGAACAGCTTCAACTCTTCTGGGAAGGCTGTCTATAAGGTTTAGGATTGTTTATGGACATTTTTTACCATTCCCTCTGAAGGCCACTTATGAGGTCATACACTGGTGTAGGATGAGAGGTTCTAGCGTTCAGTCTCCACTCTCATTCATCCTTAAAGTGTTCTGTGGGGTTAAGGTCAGCAGTCTGTACAGGCCAGTGAAGGTGATCCATGCCAGACTCTGTCTTTATGGGCCTTGCTTTGTGCTCTGGTGCAGTCATGTTGGAAGAGGAACAGCCCAGCTCCAAGCCGTTCCTACATTGTTGGGAACATCGAATTGTTCAAAAAAAATCTTGGTATGCTGTAGCATTCAGAGATCCCTTCACTGGAACTCAGAGGCCAATTCCACACATAAATCCCTCCTCCAACCAACTTCACCCTTGGCACAAAGCAGTCAGATAAGGACCCGTTCTCCTGGCAACCGACAAACCCAGACTCGTCTATCAGATTTCTAGATGAAGAAGAGTGACGCTCCAGAGAAAGTGTCTCTACTGCTCTGCCGTCCAGTGTCGGCGTGCTTTAGTTCTCTGCATTCAATAATTTGCATTACACCTGGTGATGTACGGCTTGGAAGCAGCTGCTGGGACATGGAAAGCCATTTCATAAAGCTCTCTGTTCTAGAGCTAATCTGAAAGCCATATGGTGTTTGAAGGTGTTAAGTAATTGACCCTGCAGAAAGTTGGCAACCTCTTTACACCACGCCTTCAGCATTCACTGACCCCGCCCCGTCGGTTTACCTGGTCTACCACTTCATGGCTGAGTGGCTGTCGTTCCCAAATGCCTCCGTTTTCTTATACAGCTGACGGTTGAATGTTTAGGAGGAAATGATGATGCATTTGCTGCACGGGTGGCATCCTGTCACAGCTACAGGCTGGATTTCACTGAGCTCCTGATAGAGCCCTATTCTTTCACAAGTCTGTAACAGTCTGCATGCCTAGGTGATTTATTTTATAAACCTGTGGCCATGGAAGCGATTGAAACATCCAATTCCAGTAATTATGATGGGTGAGGAAATGCTTTTGGCAATAGAATCTCTAGATGAAAGACTCAGTGTGGGGTTGGATATAAATAAATCGTTTCCACATTTTTCTTCTTCCACTCGAAAATAGTAAGAACATTGTAATGTTTTCTTCTCCATACAGGGAAGATCAGTTTTCCAGCCATCCAGGCCGCACCCTCCTTCAGTAACTCCTTCCCTCATATCTTTGGAAGCAGAAAAGACATACAGTGTCTCATTCCTTGTGCCATTGATCAGGTCAGGATTCCGACATGTATCAGCAACGCTCACAAATATATTTCCATGATACAAATAACTTGTCTAATTGCTTTCCTATCCCTCCTACAGGACCCCTATTTCAGGATGACCCGTGATGTCGCTCCAAGGATCGGTTATCCAAAGCCAGCACTGCTGCACTCCACCTTCTTCCCTGCCCTGCAGGGGGCGCAGACGAAAATGAGCGCCAGCGATGCCAACTCCTCCATATTCCTGACAGACACACCGAAGCAGATCAAGAACAAGGTGCTTTAACCGCATCGGTCCCCTCTTGGAAAGTAAGTGCTCTGTGTTCATTTTTGGCAAACTTCCCTCACCTGTTCTTCTTCCTGACAGATTAACAAACACGCTTTTTCCGGAGGGAAGGACACTGTAGAAGAGCACAGGAAGTACGGCGGGAACGCAGATGTAGACGTCTCATTCATGTATTTGACTTTCTTCCTTGAGGATGATGAAGAGCTGGAGAAAATCCGACAGGTGAGGAAGATGACAAACACCCAGAGTTTTCCTTCTGTTATCCGACTCTTCTCATCTTCCATCTAATCCCACTCATTTGATATTGTCTCTCCCAGGACTACACCAGTGGAGCGCTGCTAACAGGCGAACTGAAGAAAAAATTGATTGAGACTCTGCAGCCAATGATTGCCCAGCATCAAGAGAGACGCAAACAAGTCACAGACGAAACAGTGAAGCAATTTATGACACCCAGACCTTTAAATTTTAACTTGTAGCTCGGTGGAGCGTCACAGATCCATGTTTATTGTACTCTACTATTTTTCATTTAAAGTAATCTGTAATGGGTGGAAACATTGGAAGGATTGTGTTCTTCTCCAAAATAAGCATGGCAATGTTCATGTGGAATCAAATGCACGTTTGTGTTCCTCATCTGGAGCTCTCTACTCTCAAAGTAAGAGGCATGTAATCTAAAAGCTGCTTAAAGACGAACAAAAGAAAAGTCATCTGCTTCGGAGGTCTTCTGTGGAAAAATTCCTTTTACCAAGAGATGTTGTAGTCTTGTTTTTATATGATTGTAAAAATGAGAGGTGTTATAATCACACATTCATATCAGAACAGTTTTAGGCGGGGCATTTTTCAGAAACGGAACAATGAAGTTTTGAGCTTTTCAGCAAAAAATTGAAATGCATTGAAAAACTAAAAAATTCGACATACAGTGCAGCTGAAATTCATTGATGAAATAGTTGTATTTCTATAATTTGGTGGGTAAAATCTCTACATATTTCAAGTTTAAGGTTAGGGCTTTTCCAAGAGCTCAGCACTAACCTACTTTATCATTTGAAGCCTATTTTTTTTTATGTGTGTTTGGGTTGATTGCCCTGTTGTACCACTCACTTGTGTCAGTTTTTGCCTCTTGCAGAGAATTGAAGTAGCTCTAGTGTGATCCATTCTACTCTGAACTTGAAGTAATTGTGTTCTAGTTTCACGCNCTTGTGTCAGTTTTTGCCTCTTGCAGAGAATTGAAGTAGCTCTAGTGTGATCCATTCTACTCTGAACTTGAAGTAATTGTGTTCTAGTTTCACGCTTTTAGGCCTTCCTAGTTTTATTTTATTTTTTAAGTTGTTTAAGTTAGAAACCCTCATGCCAGGGGTTATCAAAACCAAATTATAAATGGGCAAATAAAAATAAAAAACTAACACTTAAAAAGGTTTATAGCATCAAGAGTCCTTAAAGCTTTGGAGTTTGAAGAGGAATGTATTGATTCTTTGTATTGTGAAAATTTAAGAGAGTTTAAATTGGAGCCTTTTACCAGAAAATTAACATTTATAAATAAGAAATTTTGCAAAAACAATAAAAAAAAAAAAGATCACATAGAATTCTTGTTTATATCTACATGGATTGTAAAAACCAAAAAACACATCAGGGTATTTAAGAGAAAAGCCACTATGAATATTATCTTATATATAGCGAAATAAGTCTTTCCAATACCCTACAGTGAAAGGGCATTTCAAACAGAGGTGGACGACAGTTTCCTTGTCCTTATGGCAAAAGGAGCAGCTGCAGTCACTGTCTTTGTGTAGAGGTTGCTTTGCTGGATAGCACCTGTGTAGAATTTTAAAACACACATCCTGAATTTTGTTTGTAACAAGATATTTAGAATGGAAAGTCCACTTGGTCTCAGGTACAAATTGATTCCAGTAATGAATGACATAAGGCACAGTAGCAATGTCTTTCTGAAATAAAGTTTTTTTTTTTTTACTTGTGGACGAGCTGGGGAAAAAGCAGATTTTACCCACTAGAATCAAAAATTGATAAAGGAAGTGTAACCGGCCTCTCAATAAGGGAATGGACCCCATCCATGAATAGCATGAGCACACCATGAGGAATACTGTCCAATAACCCCAGGAGTTGGCTATAACGATAGACAACTCTCGGGGAATTACCAGAATCTGATAAGATGACAGAAATTCGGAGTAAGGCATCAGAAACCCCTCAGGATTGAAAAGTTGCTTGACAAAAATTAAGTTATTAAACCTTTTGTTTTAGACCAGGGGTATCAAAGTGGTTCCAGAAAGGGCCATGTGGCTGCACGTTTTCTTTCCAACCAAGCAATAGCACACCAGACTCCATTCATCGAGTAATGTTCAGATTGGACTCGATGAGATGACTGGAGTCTAGTAACCTGACTCCGCCAGATGGATTTGCTCCGCATATCCATCTGGAAACCTTCCGTTGAAGTAATTTTGGGAAGGGGCCAAAATACTGGTTAGCTGATTGGCCTATGTTGGTGATAGACGGGCCAAATAAAC